TTTTCTCGTTTCATAGTTTATTTTTTTAATCAACACCAGTCCTAAACATAAATAACAAATATTATATTCATTTATTTTCTGAATTTTAATCCTGTAAGAGATTTTTATGTATTATTATTTTTGTAGAATTTATAAATGATGACTTTACTATATGTACATTTACTCATGTTTCGTTTTTGTTGTTGTTCTTAGTATTTATGCCATTTTTTAATGCTACTTCATATTTCTACTCCACTAAAAACTCCACACTGTTTAGGCCTACGTGTGAAAGTTGCAGACAGACACACAAAGGAAAATAAGGAAAAACGAACATTTTAATATGTTTTTGTTTAAAGTAAAATATCTGAATACCCCTTACAACACTGCACTCACCAATAGCCAGGTGTAATCTGTGACYGAAGCACTGCATCCTCAGCCACTTGTTCAGCTCAACCGCTTTGACGATGTTGCTCCCGTTGTCGGTTGAGTTTCCAGCTTGCAATTGCGTCCTGTAGGGCCTCAGCTATATGGTCACCTGTGTGATCCTGGGGGAAATAACTTGTTTGGATACATGCAGTTTTTATCTCCCAGTCTTGAATTAAGTGTACTGTCACGCTCATGTACGGCTCACACGTCCTGCTCGACCACATATCGCTGATCAACGCACAATGGGTCACGTTAGCGAGCCGGTCAGCAAGGCTCWGTCTGACTTCATTGTACATTTGTGGCAGTGCTTCTCGTGCAAAGTAATTGCGACTGGGAAGCTCATATCTCGGGTCCATAGTTTTCAGTAGTTTTTTGAATCCGACTTGTTCCACAGTTGCAATAGGGACCATATCTTTAGCAATTTGATAGGACACCGCTTTAGTTATAGTACACCACTTGTCACATTTCTTTTCATAAGGCACAGTGCGGGAAAATGAAGCTTGCAGTGAGCTTTGTGGAGCTGGAGCTTTTTCGGGTTGCGGACGGCTCGCGGCTGGGGCTTCTGTGGCGCGCAGTTTCACACACTCTTCATTCTGCAGATTGTGCCACTGTTTTAGGTGGTGAAAAAGATTTGTAGTGCTTCCACCCCTGGCTATAACTTGTTTATGGCACTCCCTACATATAATGTGATTTTGTTGCTCATCTGATACCTTGAATCCAAACCATTACTGAGCCACTGCATTTTCTTTTGCGAACCAAGTCCTCCTTTGCACGCTCCGCAGACGTTGCTTCCTCCATGTTTGTTTAAGAGTGCCGGAGTGTCTGTTCCAGCCCCTCCCCTCTCTGTGCATGAAACAGGAGGAGCGGGAGCGAGGGGAGCAGTGCAGAGAGCTCCGGGTGAGCAGCTTGCCTGGAGCAAGGATCACAGCGCAAATTTAAACTATATCGATATGGTCTAATTCCATATCGCATTTAAAAATATATCGATATATATTTTATATCGATATATTGCCCAGCCCTAGATTAAAGATATTCAGATCATTGACAGGTTTTTCAAGCTGACCTTATATGGAATCTGGAAAAAAATTTAGAAATATGTAGACAGAAACTAAAGTGGTTGGCTAGTTAATTTGAGATTTGTGTTTTGTGTTTAAATGGCAAATTATTTCACGTGAAAAGCGTCTCCTCCAGTATGTTGGTGATCACTGTGACTTCAGCGGTGGCGCTCACTGCATCTGTGTTCCCTATGCACCTGCAGCTAAATGATGCAAATATGTTAAGAGATTTTCCTCTAACAGTAGAAACATTTGAAGACTTTTTTTTACCTGCAATTCGCACAGTTCTTCTGTGGAATTCTGCGTCATGTTTCACAAAGAAGAAATCACACAAATTAGTTTATTTAACTTAGTTCACAGAAGAGCTTTTAAAGAAAATATTTTCCGAAATCACACGTTATGCTTTACGTTGTGATTGATACGTTAACTTTATCTGATAAAATGATTAATATGTACCCTGATAAACATAGCTAGCTAGCTAGTGCCAGCTTCACTTGAGGTAGCTTTAGTTAGCTTATGTTTGCCAAAAAACATCACTGAAGACAACATTGTTCTCACCAAAGAGCTGAGTTTATAACCTTACATTCACGATGACTAAGGTGGACTGGTTGCTAACTTTCTTGGGGGCATGCAAGACAAGCTACTACACTGTCAATTGAGGCCCAATCCCATTTCACCCGCTAGCATTAGCATGCTAGTGATCTTTTTTTTGCAGAAGTGTTACTGAACTTAACTGCTCCTCTAATAAAGCATCCTGGCAGGGTTGTCTCTAGACCACTGCTAGCAGCCTGAAGCTGTGGTCTTTAGATTCATACATGAAATAATGCAGAGTATCCAAGCAAATGTTGGTTTTGGACCCATGATGCATTGTGATATACAGATAAACATTGTAAAATGATAGAACAAGAAGTTACCGTAGAATTTTACTGTAGAAACTACAGCAATATGTTACAGTGTACTGTTGTCAAATATATGATCTAATATAAATATTATGGGTTCTTTTCTTTGCAAAATGATCTAGGTGGACAAATACCTGCATCATCTTCAGCTCTCAGATGAGACTTTGATGGACTTGTCAATAAGATTTCGACGAGAGATGGACAAAGGCTTGTGTAGAGACACCCAACCCACAGCTGCTGTCAAGATGCTGCCCACATTTGTGCGCTCAACCCCTGATGGAACAGGTAATAGCCCTCTCATAACGGAGATTGGTTTATAAAGTAGACACCTTCAACCCGAGTTACAGCAATTCATTCACACATTTGAGTAGCTAACTGTAGTTTCATACACATTATATTAAATGTGTACAGTGCTGAGTAAAGTCAGGACATTTTCTTATCTCTAAAGGTATCTACCTCTGTAGAAAGTGTGATGGTCTTTTTTATCATGTGTTCAAGTTGTTCTGTTCCATTCTTGTGAACATAATATATCACATAAATGTTCAGCCAAGCTGTCTATTAAAACAGCAGTCAGAGTTTACAATGTGCAACATGCTTGAAAAAGAGTCTCCCTAACCTAATAGAGCAGAAGCAGTTCTCAGAAGCAAAATAATGGAGAAATACTGGTCACTGCTCTTTAATCTTTTTCAATGACTGATTTGATTCCAGATGTGAAATTTGGTTGAAACTTTTATAGCTTGAAAATATATGCACTTATTCAATGATCCTTTTGTTTATAAAAGAACAAGGGGAATTCCTGTCCCTTGACCTTGGTGGATCCAACTTCCGAGTGCTCTTGGTCAAAGTCATGGCTGATGGCAAACAAAAGGTGGAGATGGAAAATCAGATATATGCCATCTCTGAACACCTCATGAGAGGCAATGGGTCTGAGGTAAGAGTCATGACAGCCCTCTTTCTTTTCTCTTACTTTGTGTTGATTAAAAACTTCTATAAACTAGGACTCTAGGAGCCACAAGGGAGTCTGTTTAGAGAGCCAAGTGATCTATTTGGATGATGCAATACTGTGAGGGATTGATCATTGAAAGCTTTGTTGTAAGAAGAGGGAATTTTACCCCATTCTAAATTTTTCAGGGATGCAGGTTTATTTTAGGTATGTGCAAGTATAGGCTCCAAAAACAATTACTGAAATCTGAGCTGAATTAGCAGAAAATGGTAAAAATATTAAATGGGCAAGCAACAAAAAAAGTATTGAAACCTCTCAACGACTTTATCTTGCTCATGTCAGTTATTTCAGATAATACTTTCCTCTCTTCACACTCTCTTGCTGACACAATTGACACGTTGACAATAAACACTAACACTAGTTATTATGACATGTACAGTACTTGAAGTTATAGTGTTTGTTTGATTCATGCTAGAGTTTATTAGACAAGTATTTAGGCCAATTGGAAAAGAAGCCTGACATTTTGCACATACACAGTTTACTTGCCACACACAACGTAAAGTGACATGGACAGTCAGGGTTAAAGTGACCAGAATGATCCAGATTCATGATCCAACACCACTGATTAATAACTAAATCAATTAGATCGTCAGTTTGTGTTCAGAGCATCAGAGAGGAGCAGACACACACACACACACACACACACACACACCCATTGCAGAAGAAGCAATGCCCTGTTTATATAGCAACATGAATATGAATTCAGCAGGTTATTGTAAAGATAAGTTCTGTGTGCAAGTGATTAGAAAAGTCACTTGTTGAGCCATGCAGAGTAATGTGCCCCAGATATAAATCAAAACTGATATGAAAAAAAATTAGTGGGGCCACCTGTATACTGTAATGGATATAATCAAAGTTTATCATCATACAAGCCTTAGTGCATATATGTGTAGAGCATCAAAATATTCAAATTAATGACATCAGAATAAATTTTATTATTTATTATTATTTTTTGTTATTCAGTTCAAGATCCGGTGGAGTGGGTGGCCCTCCCCTGCTGTTAGAAAAAAACAATAAAATAATTGTGATATTGATTTGAAATCATATCAGCCAGCCCTTTTAAAAATACATCTCTCCACTGAAAATTATGCAAACCAAAGTGTTAAAATAACACACACACACACACACACAGGGGGATACATACTTTTTGTATAGCCGTTAATACAGAAAAGTAAAATTTTCTCTCTTCTGCAGTTATTTGATCACATAGTTGACTGCCTGTCTAATTTCCTGGAAAAGATGGGCATAAAGGATAAAAAACTTCCTCTGGGCTTCACCTTCTCTTTTCCATGTCAGCAGACCAAGTTGGACGAGGTGAGTGATGGAGAAGTTCTATTCTTTATTTCAAGTAATATTTATAAATCGGTGAAAACACTGGTGAATGTTATCCAACGTGGTGTCAAGAAAAAGAATCTAAACCCTGTGGAATACAATTTTCTGGATTAAACCGTCAGAACTACATTAGAAATATAGACAAAGAAAATGTACCATGAGCAAATAATGCACAATTGTGTAATCTTAGATTAAGTATCTGCTCAAAACCTCCTTTGGCAGCAAAAACCTCACACAAGTTCCTTCTGTAGTTGTGGAACTGACTCAACAACATTCAAAAAGAAATTTAGACAGTGTTTTTGACTACCTGGAAGCTGGTGGCTAGACCAGTGTTTTTCAACCACTGTGCCGCGATAGATCATCAGGTGTGCCGTAGGAAATTGTCCGGGTCTGAAATCACATTTAACATAAACCCGCCCCTGCTGCTGGAGCAGTATAAATACATTCAGTGCATCCCCCCCCCACCTCCTCCTCATTTTTGAATTGCAACACTTACACATACAGCCGTTGCTAGTTAGTTCTGCTCGAACATGCATCTTCCCTGGATGCCAGAATGTGACAACAGCTCCATTACTTTATTTTGATTTTTTTTAAAACGAAGTGATGAAGAAGTAGATTGTGAAGGGCCATATTAATGGGGACCTGAAAATAATACAGTAATTACAGTAACGTTAGGTGACGTGGTGCACAGTAACGTGGTTTTACATCGTGCACTAACATAATCACGTCAGAGTTTCTCATCATCTTCATGTGTGTGTCAGTGCATGTTACGTCAGACTGCTCTCTCTCCTGAGCAGAGTCCAGAAGAAAATAATCCGGTAACAGGACATGGGATGTCTCTTAAATTACAACAGCAGCAGCTTGTAGCTATGACAGGGAATATATGTGGTCAGATCTGAGTTTACGTTTGTCGGCAACGGCGCACATGGACGAGGGACACCTGCCTGAGTGTGACCACCTGTGGTGTTGGGGTGAATCCTGGCAGTGGCAGCAGCTCCCCTTTACCAAGTCAACTCAACCCAAGCTCTGCCAAAAAAGTTCCTGCCCAAGATGATGGCAGTTTCAGTGGCAGGCAAGATTTTTACAGCACCACCACCAACATGGATGAGACTAACCGTGGTAATGAAGACAGTGGCCCTGAGGAAAGTCAATATATTCACCGGCAGCACGGCGCACCCGGCAGGTGGTCACACTCAGGCAGGTGTCTCTCGTCCATGTGCGCATGGATTTTTTGATTTGGCTAAAAAGCCACATACTGTGGCAGAGACATTAATACTACCTGCCTGCATCGTGAATGAGATGCTCGGCCCTGACGCAGTTAAAGAAGTAGCTAAAGTCCCTCTCTCAGATAATACAATTGCCAGACGTATTGATGACATGTCTGCAGACATCGAAAATGTTGTTTTGGAAAAGATGCGCATGCAAGGCCAAAATGAAAACCTGCTCACAAGCACAGACAAAATAAATGGATTCCGTTCAGAGGTGCAGCTCTGGCAACAACATCTTGAAAGTGGCAACCTTGGCATGTTCCCCCTCACCCAAAAATGGCAAGATGATGTCAACACTGCTGCACTGTGTGAGATAATAGTTAAACATTTGAAAACTCTTGAGGAGTTGTCATTTTATTTCCCCTCAACCGTCACTGAATCCCTTGACTGGGTTAGGGACCCATACAGCTCAGCAGCAGTCTTCGGAAAGGACATGACCTTGCAGGAGCAGGAGGAACTAACTGAACTGAGACAAGACCGTGGTTTAAAGCTAAGCTTTGCTGATCTACCTTTGGACAGTTTTTGGTTGGCTGCTGCCAATGAGTTTCCCATTCTGGCAAACAGAGCTATTTCAACATTGCTCACATTTTCCACAACATATCTATGTGAGCTGAGCTTTTCAAGCATGACTGTTTTAAAAACTAAAAACAGAGAGAGACTGAGAGCTGTTGAGGAAGAGCTTCATGTGTGCCTCTCTTCAATTCTTGCCAGGATATCAGCTTTGTGTTCATCTACACAGGCCCAGGTTTCACACAAAGTGAGTAAATTCAAAAATGATATTGTCATGTGCTGCATTAAGCTACAATGTGTAATTTAATAACTTTTTTGAATGGTGGTGTGCCGCGGGATTTTTTTTCATGTAAAAAATGTGCCGTGGCTCAGAAAAAAAGGTTGAAAAACACTGACCTAGACTACCTGTGCAACCTGATTGGGCTGCAGATACCGCCCTGTGCTACCAGTAGTGACAAGGACACTCGCAGAACCCAAAACTAGAGAGGAATCAGTCAGGGAGAGTAAGGAGAGAGCATCCACATGCAAAACCATTCCACCTTTTCTGGGGGTTGTTTTGCTTTTGTCTCTCCATCACACCTGTTGTGATAATAAAGTGTTCGAGACGCTTTGGCTTCAGTAGGGGGAGCAGTCATGTTGTCTAGCTTTATATGCAGCCTCTGGTTATGCCGTTAAGACCATGCAACCATGCATCATGTTTTAACATTGTAGACTAATGAAGATTATTGTTTATTATATATATATATAGTATTTCCTGTTAGCCTTAAGCTGTTTTTGTGCTGTTGTCTTTAAGTTCACTCAGCATTCTGTGTTGTGCCTTTGGCATCATTTTAGCGTACCTACAGATCTATCTCCTCCAGCATTATGCAAATCAACAATTGTTGATCATTAATTTTCTCAGATGTTTTTCCTGAAAGGCATCATTGACATTAACAGACACTTCTTGTAAAACCCTAAATGTTAATGTTTTTAAAATTGAAAGTAGCTCTAACACAAACATTCAATTCATTTTCACTAAGTGGACTCCAGGGCCAATTCTCCTGACTCCACACACATTTTCCCCTCTACACTGTGAATGTTGTATTCAATATAGACTATAAGAATACAATGATTTGTGTGTTTTCAGTTGAAATAAGTTATCATAAATGTAACTTAGATGAAGATCTGACCATCTTTAAAGGTACAATTTATATATCGACTATCGACCAGTTGCCCTCACATCTCATGTGATGAAGGTACTGGAAATTCTGGTCCTAGCCCATCTCAGACCACAGAAGAAATCATCACTGGACCTTCTACAGTTCACCTACCAGCCTCATCTGGGTGTGGATGATGCAATTATCTACCTGCTGCAGTGAGCCAGTTCACATCTGAATTAAACTAGTCGCACTGTGAGAATCACATTCTTTGATTTTTCCATGGCGTTAAACATAATCCAGCCAGTGCTTATGAGGGAGAAGCTGCAAGCGATGGGGGTAGACACATCCACCGTCTCCTAGATGAGTGACTGTCTGACAGGCAGACCTCAGATTGTCTGTCTGGGCAGTGTTCTGTCTGTAACGCCGATGAGTGCTACAGGAGCTCCACAGGGGACTGAACTGTTACCCTACCTCTTCACATTGTACACCTCTGACTTCCAGTACAACTCCCAGGCATGCCACTTGCAGAAGTTCTCTCGACTCTGCAGTGGCTTGGTGTACAAGTGATGGGAAGGAGGATGAGTACAGAGCACTGGTGATTTTGTGGAGTGGGCTGGTAGAAACTGTCTTCTTCTTAATGTGGCCAAGACCAGAGAGATTGTGATCGACTTCAGCACAGTTTCACAGCCACTACCTAGCATTACAAGTACTTGGGCGTCCACATCGACAACAGACTTCATTGGAAAACCAACACTGACAATACGATAAGGGATGAGCAGAATCTGTTTCCTTAGAAAGCTGAGATCTTTTAATGTGTGCAGCAAGATGTTGGAAATCTTGAAAATCCGTCTGTTGTAGCCAGTGCACTGTACTTTGCTGTGGTCTGCTGGGAGAGCAATATCGGAGCCTGTGACACCAACATACTTAAAAAACTGATTAAGAAGGCTGGCTCTGTCATCGGCTGCATACCGGACTCATTTGAAGTGGTGGTGGAGAGGGTGCTCTTGATTGTCGATGATGGATAACAGTTTGTTCAGTACCTTCCTCTCCACCACCAAATGGACAGACAGTGGAACACTTTCTCCAACAGACTGATTCAGCTCCGCTGCCACATGGCAGATACAGGAAACCTTTCCTGCCCATAGCAATAAGACTGTTCAACTCCTCACCTTTGTCAAAAGGTGAACTCTCAAAACCATGAGCCCAATAGTTTCTGTCCACACCAATACTCTCTCCAGTGCAATTTTGCAGACTTGTGTCTTATTTCATCATCTCTTCTATTTCGTCTCTGGTTCTTCGTTCTATGTGCAGTGTCCTTAACATGCTGCTGTCAGACAATATTTCAATACAAAGGGCTGACATAGCTCAAGAGGGAGAGAGGTCCTATAGTAGTATGAGGCTCCTCCAGAAAGTGTTTTGAAGTGTGTAGGATTAGTGTGTGAATGGGTGAATGAGATAAACTGTACATTATGTGTATATATATATATATATATATATATATATATATGTGTATAAGTGGTTGAGTGGTTGAAAGACTATTACAGTGCTATATTATGGATGCAGTCTTGTAGAGAGAGCCTTAGTGAAGCTTTGTTTTACCCATTGCTGGTCCTGCTGATCTGTTCTGTTGACTGAATTTGAGATAAAGAACAAAGTAATTATCATATTACAGTATTGAATTCTACTACCTCCATGGACTTGTTAATGCTGTCTGATGCTCCTTTACCTCTAATAGAGAATGCAGGCAAAGCCCAGGTGTCAGGTTTGAGCCATTCAAGCTCAAACTTATATTAAGGTCTCTTGAATTTAGGTGAATTTAAAACATCTTGAATTTGGATAATGACATGTCAAAATTAAATTGTAGATATCTGAAATTATCATAATTAAGTGGTAGATGTCTGTGATACGTATAAAAGTATTTTTGAACAAACTGGGGTATATTGTAGGTTTTGTCATTTTATCTGATTAATAATCAATATAATTATTAATGTCATATTAATCAATTGACAAAATAAGTTTTTTTTGTTAATATACCATAGAATGCACATAACATTAACTTAGCACCAGGCTAATTTAGTTGGCTAGCTCACAGGTGGTTGGCAAACCATAGGCCTCAAGCATATAAAGCACTATATAATCAACAACCCAAGGATGAGACTTCCACTGATGGAATCATCAGTGCTGCAGCTAGCAGCTCACTCTCAGTCCCTCTGTGTAGTTATGGGCACCACCTGATTGTTCGAGCCTGAAATAATAAACTTATTTTCCAAGACAATCTTGCTTAACAGATATTGTTGCCCACTTCAGGTCTATCAAATTCCTGTTGTAGTTGTCTGCAGGTTTATCCTTTGAAGAAATAACTGGAATATGTGTCCCATCTGTGGCAAACTCTACTGTATATACTGGCAGTGAGTGTCAATTGCCTTTTTCAGAGTTTTCACCTTAAAAATATCTGCATATACACATTGTTTTTTCATTTTAAAATAACATCAGTTCTAAATCACTGCATACTGCCGAATCCAGCCATGGCATTCAAGTGGGAGCATGTAAAGGACCTAGGTAAAGAAATAACGTGTCACCCATTTCCTACTGAAATGGGGATACATAATATCTTTCTGACATATCAACCCAATCAATTTACATTTAGAGCACAGCTATTTTTTGCAGTTTTATATTTTGCAGGAAATAGATTTGAAGTGGATTCACACAAAACCATTTCCCTGGGATTAAACACTAGTGTGTCACTATTATATTATTGTGACACCACAGATTAGGCTAAAATGAAATATTGTGATTTTAATTGTCCTTTTTTTATATTTACAGAGTGTTTTGATGTCTTGGACCAAAGGCTTTAAGTCCAGTGGAGTGGAGGGAAAAGATGTGGTCAGCCTTCTGAGGAAATCCATCAAAAAGCGAGGGGTAATTGTATAAATGATCTCAAATATGTACGATTTTTGTACATAAAATGTGAACAAAGTGAGGGGACAGATGCTTTTGGGTACAAAGGACTGAAACGAAACCGCCGTATACTGCTTTAATAATTTGCAATTAATTTTATCTTTTAAAAATCAGGAGTTCTTTGTCTTTTACTACATTTTTAAAACCTAATGTGCTGCTGATGAAGATAACTATTTGGGTATTTTTGTCTTTATGTTAAGTTAGTACTTTAGATACAGAAATGAAACATGGGGAGAGGGGAATGATGTTTAGCTGTTTGAATTATGTGGTATGTGCCTTGGTCATCAGACTGCCAGTATGTGACATCTTTGTTGATTGATTTACGTCATGGCAGGACTTTGATATCGACATCGTGGCAGTGGTTAATGACACAGTGGGAACCATGATGACCTGTGGCTACGATGATCGTCACTGTGAAATTGGCCTCATTGTAGGTGAGTTTTGGCTGTGAATATAAATCATATAATAGTGACTAGGGCTGCACGATATATTGACAAATTTGTTTTCAGCGTGATATCAACAGTGATACACGTATCGCAAAAGACTGCTTGAACTACGATAAATGGTGTTCCATGTGCCATGCAATCACAGTCTGCGTGTCAATATATTTGGCCAATGAGACAGAGCCCTGCTTCCCTAGATACTAAATTAAAGATATATTATTATTTTAAAGATAGAGATAATTTGCGGGTTAAGAAGAGAATGGAGAGACTCAGAGAATTGCGCAGGTTCTCCGTCAAATCTTGCTCTGCGTCCTCCCAACTAAATTCTACTGTGGAAGCTTCTAGTGATCATTTTGTCCCTGGTCAAATTCATTACTATGAGTGGTTGATTAAATAAAGTAATTGTGTCGCTTATTTATAAACCTGATGGAAAACACTGACACACACTCTCTCTCAGACTCAGCTGACATCTCTGACTCGCTACAGTTAAATCTTTCCTCAGAGCAGTGCATTCATCAGCCACCCCGCTCGCTCTTTTACTCTCCCTTACTCATACTCCTCTACACACGCGCGCACACACACACAAACAGTGTGATCGGACACATCGCTAAACTCAAACTGGGTAAAAACAACAGAACCAATGATAGAGACGAGCAGTAAATTACAGACAGAACCACTACAAACTATGAAAAAATAAATTTTCATGGTCCAAACATGTATGAAAAGACTCAAAATGAACACTGTTAGTGGATCTGTGCTTGGCTCCCTGGGTGTCTGCCCTGGACCTGGTGGTGCTGTGGAGCTGTTCTTGGTCCCTATGTCTGTAGCCAGGTGGAATTTTTTCAATAAAACCATGTTTTTCGAATGGAAATATTGCTTCTCATTTTCTTTCTGTCTGAATAGACCACTTACCAAAGCAGAAAGAATTTGTTTATTTATCGCAAGTCATATTGTCATCGCAATATTCTACTATGATATTGCATAACACATGTTTTAATAGTGCCCTAATAGTGACTGGTGAAGGTCAGTCAATGTGAGCATTAAGGCTAATTTTACCCAGTGAGCAACAGAGAGACTGCCAAACATTTGTCTGTTTATCACTGATGGTTTTGTGTTATGGTTGGTGGGGCACTGTAACCATGTTGTTGATCAGTAACAAAATTAAAATCCTTCATGTGTAGTTCGGTTGAGAAATTGTGACTGAGAGACAACACATAATTCACATTCCTGCTCAAACCTTTATATACAGTCTATGCTTTCAAAAAAGACAGTGATATATATATAATATCATTTATCACAATAGTTTTCTGCTACAAAATTAATCCAACAATTTTCATCATGACCTACCTTAAAGGGATAGTTCAGTGAAAAATGAAAATTCACTCATTATGTCTCTCTCTGGTAGCTCTGCTGACGCCTTTTAAACCTGAGGATCAATCAGATTACAGTCCTCACCTGCGCTGAATGATCCTCTACTACAGGTGGAGGTGCTCTCCCAGCCTCCTCCGTGCCCACAGTGTTGTTTTTAAAACACCATTTAACTTAAAGGTTCAGTGTGTAAGATTTAGGTGAAAGAGATCTATTGGCACACATTGAATATAAAATAATCCTGATCATGTTTTCACTAGTGTGTTTTATCTATAATTGTATGAATTGTTTTTTCTTTACCCTAGAACAGGCCCTTTATATTTAAATACTTTATCATTTATCGTCATGTTTTTAACAGTACTCCAGACTGGACAAACTAAACACCTTTTGAGTTTTTCAAACAACTGAAGGCTACTACAGGTTCTCTGTCATGTTTGGAAGGGGAGGGTGAGGTGAGGGGTATTCAGCTGCAGCATGCAATTTATCCACTAGATCTCTCTAAATTCTACACACTGCACCTTTAATGAAAAATGAATATTTTTTTCCCAGCACTCAAAGCACATCTTACAGCACTACTTCACTTTGTGTCTTGAAATTGAAAGCACATTTTTGTGTTTTGTAAACATTTATCAGTAAAACAGTTAAGATGAATGATGAGTGACTCTTTTAATGGAATTTGCTATCCAGTCATACTGGATTTAGATATTGAATTAATATGTTTTGTCATCCCTGAGACCCTATTAATGTTATAGTATCATCCCATCCCTTAACAGGAACAGGGACCAATGCCTGCTACATGGAACAGATGAGGAACCTCGAGGTGCTGGATGGTGATGAGGGGCGGATGTGTGTCAATACAGAGTGGGGTGCTTTTGGAGACGATGGTGCCTTGGAGGACCTGCGCACTGACATTGACAGAGAAATCGATGCAGGCTCTCTAAACCCTGGAAAGCAGCTGTGAGTGTCTCATCTAACTTGGTAAAACATAATATCTCAGAGTGGTTATGGCTTTAGTTAACTCCTCGACAGACAAAATTAGAGAGTTCTTTATTTTTTAATCGCTCAAATCTATATATTTTTCTTTTTTATAGTTGAACCTAGGGGTGTGCGATATTGACAAAAATGACATCTCTATGTTTTCTGGGATTTTGCTGATAACGACAATTAGAGCGCTGCCTCGGCCAGGCTCTTTCCGGAACAAGTGGGTGAATGAGAGTTAGAGTGAGGGAAGGATAAAGAGAGAGGGGGACCCATGCACACGGTGAATGAGAAGGCAGGCATTGTGATCTCTAGAACTCTGGAAAAATTATTTATTGTCATCAAATACTGGGCTGGTGGAGAGGAGCACTAAAGGGTGACTCATCTGAACATATCACTTTTTTTACACACCTCTGTAGATCAGTGCTATTTGCATCATATACAGTATGTGGATTAATCTTCGTCAGACTGCTATTGCTGACACATTCTGAACATGACGAGGTAGTGTGATGGCCTCCGGTTCAAATTATGTTCTCCCTGTGCGTGTGTGGGTTTTCTCTGGGTACTCCAACTTCCTCTTACAGTCCAGAGACATGCATGTTGGGGTCAGATTGATGGGAGACTCTAAATTGACTGTAGGTGTGAATGTGTGAGTGAATGAATGTTGGCTCTGTATGTTGGCCCTATGAAACGCTGGTGACCTGTCCAGGGTGTACCCCATCTCTTGCACAACGTCAGCTGTGATTGGCTCCAGCTCCCCTGCAAACCTCAAAGCATATGCGGTATAGATGATGATGACGTATGTTTGTACAGGTATTGTCAAATTTGGACCATGCTGAAACATCAATCACATCAATAAATACAGTGTTTTGGTAGGTCAGCCTGGGTGTGAATGAACTATATGATGTGTTTTGATAGTATGTATTTTTATATAGTTTTCTTTTACCCTTTTGTGTTGGTTTGCAGGTTTGAGAAGATGATCAGTGGCATGTACATGGGAGAACTGGTTCGTCTCATCCTGGTGAGAATGGCCAAAGAGCAGCTGCTGTTCCAGGGCAAGACTACAGAAGAGCTCCTCACCACTGGAAGCTTCAACACCAGATACATCTATACCATTGACAGTGACAAGTTAGTATTTGTGTTTGTTTACTGGAGAAACAGAGGAACTTTGTAACAATGTTACTGCAGCAGATGAGTTGTGCCCACTTAATACTTAAATATGCAGAAATTGTTCAAATTTAAAATCACAGGTTTTCGCTGATTTAAAGGGGAGGGGGAGCAAAGATGCGCCAATTTACCAGCCCCCCACATACGACATATCAAATAGCTTAGCAAGCTAAGTTATCTACGTTGTCTAGCTATGAACAAAGACTCCAGTTGCAGCACAGACACTTTTATGACAGAAATGTTGGTATGAAGTAGAGGCCTCTTGCCCCTGGAGTTTCTAAACAGCCAAGGACATTGTTGTCCTCAGTTGTTTGAATGGCTGCCACTGGTTAGTGTGCATTTGAGAGAGATTAGACAGAGAAAAACCGCCGAGGCCCAGGAGAAGATGGGGAACATGCTTTCCAGGGTTGCTGGTGGCTGTCCATCTTTGATTAGAGGGTATTAAATATACATTTTCAATTATTCATAATTGTCATGACTAGGCATCTCAAATGGTTTTGTCTCTGACCTGCAAAGTCCAAGATGGTTTAAAACAGTGGATGATGTTATGCACCATGTTCAATATCTAAAGGTAAATTATTTATGTATTATGCTAATAGATATGTAAGTTTCCTTCTTTTCTGACAGTGAAATTATGCAGTCGATGCACTCACGGCATATTAATCATTTAATTGCCACTCAGCAATCTTTTTTCAGACTCACTTACTAATGCAATACAAAGATGTATGTTTGCAACCTTCCCTTCAACCATGAGTTCGTTCTATGATTATCTTCTCAAAGGCGAAGCAAGGTTCTGCATAAGGTTCTTGTTGTTGTTGTTAATCAGAAGTGGTCATGGTTAAAATTTTTCAATGATAACATCACTATGTTACATTTCTTTGCTAGATTTGCATTATGCATTAATCTTGCGCAATGAATGAGCAGAAGTTTTTAGATCTGTAGACCACGAACACATCTGTATCCTGTATTCTGCTGTGGCAGAAATCCATTGATTCATTTTCCTCACATCATAACCTGTTTTGGATCCAACCGAGTTGTATTGATTGTTACTTGTCTTCTCTTACAGAGATGAGGAAGGTCTGACAAGTGCTGAGAAGGTGCTTCGGGGGATGGGTCTAGACCCGTCGGTTGAGGACTGCATCGCCACTCAGAGGGTGTGTCAAATAATATCGACACGGGCCGCACACTTGTGTGCTGCCACGCTAGCAGCGTTGCTGCGGCAGATCCGGGATAACAAAGCAGCTGAGAAGCTTCGTACTACTATTGGAGCAGATGGCTCTGTTTACAAGAATCATCCAGAGTAAGTTATCCTGAACACCCTCACATGTGATTTGGTGTATGTTACAAATGCATATATACAGTATACAGGGGCTCAGTAGCTTTCTTGGTGTATAGTGGCTGGAGAACACAAAGCATATCAGAGACCAAGCAGTGAGACAATGAGGAAATAGGAGTCTTAAATCAAAGACCTGGTTTTAATTTACCCAAAGAAATACAAAACTTTATAAATATATAAAGGCCTATAAAAGAAGTCAACAAAAGTAACTATACCTAACGTAACAACTGAAGACCGTGTTACCTGAACAAAACTGACTTCCCACAATGAGACATCAAGCATGATTTCATGTTGTTCGCTGTATATACACATGTATTTACTATTTATTCTCTGTACATACCTGTTTCTGTGTATGTTTGGTCTGTGGAATTCAAGGAATGTCACTAAATTCTTATTTGATCCATTTTGATCCAATTATAAAAAATAAAAAAAACAACTAATCTTTCACTCTTTAGTCTGTGTACCTGTGAATTTGTTGCGCATGTGATTGGCCTTTATGTGTGTGTGTACGTGCACCTGCCATAGATTAAATTAATTGTGTGGGAAACACTGGTTCACTTTATTGCACAATTAACTGTTTTACGTTACCAAGTGAAAAAAAGAATAATCACTCTTTTGATACTACCCATTAGTGACTATGCTAATATAATTTATCAAAACACCTAGGACAATCATCTGACGTCCCTTCATGTTTTGTACAACTCTTGGTGTAGATTTGTCCTGAGATGTCTATCTGCATAGAACTGTCCACCGTTTTAGTTATGAATTAGGGCAGCAGAATATATAAAAAAAATTATCGACATCGCGATATCAATATGCGCAATATACTATCGCAAACGATTGGGTGAACTGCGATAAATGGTGTTCCATGTGCCATGCATTCACGTTCTTCATGTCAAGATATTTGGCAAATCAGATGGAGCCCTGCTGCTTTAGATGATAAATCAATTAAAGATAAATCAAATCTCACCCCACCACCTCCTGACCAAATTGTATGTGGAAACTTTTAATGTCCAGTGTTAAATTAAAATGTGCTGCGCGAATGATAGAGACACAGAAAGGAGCACTAAATTACTGACAGCCGGTAAAAAATGTTCACAGTCCAAATGTGTAAATTTTAATTGTCCATCTTATTTTAAACAAATTTTGGTTAGATATAGGCCTATCCCCTCAGACTGCAATATCTTTTTTTCTTTTACATAGATAATTCAAATACAAAGCTTTCTCTGATTGGAATAATCATCCTCTTTTTTTCTTTATTTCATTTCAGGTTTCATTATCTCTGTCTGTTGCCTCAGGTCATCTTGATTTTCTCATCTCAAAACAACCTGTGCTTTTAATTTACTTTCTCAGTAATAACTTGTCTGTGCAGTGATAAATAAATATCAGAGGTTTTAATAAATATAATTGTTTTCCCCAGGTTTTCCAGGAGGATCCACAAGATGGTGCGAAGACTTGTGCCAGACTGTGATGTGCGTTTTTTGCAGTCACAGGATGGCAGTGGGAAGGGTGCTGCCATGGTAACAGCAGTAGCTTACCGTCTTGCTGCTCAACATGCAGAGCGTCAGCGCATCCTCGACACCTTACGTTTGAGCCGTGAACAGTTGCTGGAGGTGAAGAAGCACATGAGTGAGGAGATGGTGCGAGGCCTGTCGAAACAAAACCACGAGCAGGGAAGCCTCAAGATGCTTCCCACCTATGTCAGATCAACACCAGATGGAACTGGTAACTTTGAGAGAGAGACTTTCCAGTTGCTATTAGAATTTCTCTTGGATATAATTCTTTGTGTAAGGTTTTCTAAATTCTTCTCTTTATTGTCCCCACCAGAGCATGGGGACTTCTTGGCTTTGGACCTTGGAGGCTCTAGCTTTCGGGTGCTGCTGGTGCAAATGCACAGAGGAAAGAGACACAATGTGGACATGCACCACAAGATCTACAGTATCCCACAGGAGACAATGCAAGGCACAGGCGAAGAGGTGAAACTTCAGCAGGGGTTAAACTGATTTGGTATGAAATGCAATGAGTGATCAGTGAATTTGAAAAGATTCAGCTGAAGAACCTCTGTCATGAGAGGCTGGATTGGTTTACTCAATGTCAGACACTGAATCATACATACTAAAAAGTAAAGGTAGATGAATAAAATATATTCAGTATAGGAAGGATGCGGTATGGACCAGGGAATTTGGTTGTGGATCCAGATCAACTAAAAAGAAACTAAAATGGCACTTAGAGAGCACATACTTCCACCGGAGCTCGACAGTCCCATTATGAACATAGAAATTCACTAGATCCGGATATTGATTTGGATCAGCACCAAATTTTATAAACTCATAAATAACTGATCCTTAATCATACCTGAATATTTTCATCAAGACCTATGTCATTAAGATGTTCTCTGAGAAATCAATGAAAAAGTTGTAAGATGCTCTATCTTGCAATGTTGGAAAAATCTATTATTTTGCTCAAGTCACATGAGTAACAAGAGCAATGATCATTTGTTCAAACAAGTATTTCTCTCCACTCCACCATATAAATGGCTGAATACTTTGTCTCTGCAAAACAGATAGAGATGATACAGTGTAGCCTACAAATGCTTCTCTGAGTTTTTGTGCATTCTTTCTCTTCTGGTCAGCTTTTCAGCCACATTGTGTACTGCATTGCTGACTTTCTTGAGTACATGGGCATGAGAGGAGCGTCCTTACCTCTGGGATTTACATTCTCTTTCCCCTGCCATCAAAGCAAACTGGATCAGGTAGGGCTGAATCAATATTTATTGAGTGTACAACGAGCGATCATATGTATGAATAGGTACATGAATGTCAAAGTTAGTTTACTGTCTGCATACAGCCCCTCTTCTCCTGTGGTGGCTTTTACCCAACGTTTAAATTCATTGAATGTTTTTTTACAGTGAAGTTAAGTTTCATTATTTGTGTTAAAATTATTATTTATTATTCAGTTGTTATTACTATTACTATTTGACTTCTTAATCAGAACGGCTACATTTTAATTATTGTTATAGTATATTTTTCAAGGCTACAAACTATACTTAATTTTCTTTATCTTTACATATAATTATTAATCTATAGTAACAAACAAAATGACAGCTGCTGTTGCAGAGACATCCACATATCTCCTGTGTAGTTGGATGCTGTTATTCTTTGTGCACACACAGAAAATTCAATCAACACTGTCATTTGTTCAGGGCATTCTTCTGAGGTGGACAAAGGGTTTCAAAGCCAGCGGCTGTGTGGGACAAGATATCGTTATGTTACTTAAAGATGCTGTTCGTAGACGACAGGTAAATACACTCATTACACAAATAATCTCTAACCATTTATGAGAAATGTGGGCTGTGAAGGTCGAACAATAACAATAACATAATAGAGAAATTGCAATGGGATTTCTGGTTCATAATGTGAAATAAGTGCGTGTCGGCATGTTTATCTATAGTTATGAGGGCCAATTTTGGTTCTGAAGACAAATTTTGGGTGGACAAATTAAATTGTCTTTTTTGAGGGGGTTAAGACTTGATTTTAGGGTAGGGGTTAGAATTAGGTTTAGGCATTATATCAATGCATTCCATGTAAAGAGACCTGCATGTGTGACAACCATGATTGCAAGTTAACAAAATGTCCACTGAAGTCATTTTAAAAGTGTGTAGTATTTTGTTTGAGCAGCTCCTCCTATCTCACATCTGTTCTCCCCCTATGAAAAATGTAGGGATGCTAAAATTTGTGGTAAATGGTCACATCTCTATGTCTTCGAGCCAGCGGTAGCCTGTGACCAGAGGCATTATGTTTTCAGATTCTCCGTCTGTCTGTCCCATTCACTTGAATGTGATATTATGGGAATTTCTTCAAATTTGGTACAAAAATTCACTTGGACTCAAGGATGATCTGATTAGATTTTGGTAGTCAAAGTTCAAGGTCATGATGACCTCACCAAATAAATGTTTTGTATTGTGAAGGTGATATCTCTGGAACGCCATCAAATAATTCTTTCACATTTGGAATATTCATTTGGATCAAATCACTTGATTTTGGTAGTCAAAGGTCAAGGTCATGGTGGCTGTGCAATTTATGTTTATTGAACGTGATATCTTAACATCAGCTTGAGGAAATGTCTTTAACTTTGGTACAAACTTTTATTTGGACTCAAAGATGAACTGATTACATTTGTTGGTTAAAGGTTACTGTGACCTCACACGTTTTCTGCTTTATGACTGTAAGCCCTGTTGACGTTCCCACACATGCAGATCAGTGGTATAGGTTAAGGTCAAGGTGAGGCGTGGGGCGTTTTTAAATGTGAACAGCTTGAGGTAATTTCTTCAACTTTTGATCAGTTGTCACTTGGAGTCAAAGATAAAGTGATTTCTTTTCAGTGGTCAAAGGCCACAGTGACCTTATGTGAATCTGGTTTGGAACTAGTTAGGAGTCCAGCAGCTGCATTATGAGGTGTAGATGCAGGGACGTGTACTAGGGTTGCACGATATTAGGAAAACATTAGATATGCGATAGAGTTGTTTAATATTGTGATGCGCTATAACTTGCAATAGTCCCTGACTACGGAAACAGAGAATACGGACAGTTCCACTGCCAGGAAAAGGCGCACAGCAAGTCTGGGGCATCCACTAAGTCCACTTACAGTTTTAATTTGAGGTCTTTACATGTTTGGGCCATGAAAATTTAGTTTTTTACAGTTTTTAGGGGCTCTGTCATTAATTTACTCCTCCTCTCTGTCTCCATCGTTTGCACTGTGCCAACCACATCAAACCAAACGGAGCATTACGCCATCTCCTCCAGGTCTACATACATTTACTAAGTTTATAAGGTGTTTTTACTCAGACTGAGTTTACACGTGTGTCCGATCACACTGTGTGAGAGAGAGAGGGACAGCTGACGAATGCACTGCTCTGAAAAAAGCTTAAGTCAGATATTGGGATGAAATCGGAGTGATTTTCAGACCTTGTGCTTGTGCAGTGGGCCCCGGTTCCTCTTGGTGCAGCACAATGCCCAGCCTCGTTTGTAGGCAGTTTCTGGATGATGAAGGCATTGATGCCTTTGACTGGCGTTCCCCTGACCTAAATCCAATTGAGCACCTATAGGACGTTATGTATCAGTGTGTCCGACACCACCAAGTACTGCCACATGATCCAGGTCTGGGAGGAGATCCCCCAGGACACTGTTCTTTTTTACTTTGATTTTCTGTGTGGTTTTGAATGCAGCCCTCAATGGGTTGATGATTTTGGTTTCCATTGATCGTTGTTATGTCATTTTGTTTTCTACAAACTATACAATGTCTGTAATTAATTTGATTGTAACAGAACTTAGGGATTTAAATTAATTTGTTGTCACTGCCTCCAGGAATTTGACTTGAACTTTGTGGCGGTGGTTAATGACACAGTGGGAACCATGATGACCTGTGGCTATGAGGACCCCAAATGTGAGGTGGGACTTATCGTAGGTAAGTCTTCTATCCCCCACTTTTCTCTCCGTAAGCCTATCTCTTATGCCTCCATACCAATGTCAGCCGTTGGCCGGGGGAATTATGTTTTTGGGTTGTCCATCCGTCTTTTCTTCAAATTTGCTACAAACATTCACTTGGACTGATTCAATTTTGGTGCCTGGAGATCAAAGGTCCAGGTCACAGTGCCCTCACATTACTGTTAATGTGATAGATCAGTACGGAATTTCATTACATCTGGCACAATTCACTTTAACTCATGGATGACATGATTAGTATTTAAAGGTACAGTGTGTAGAATTTAGTGACATCGGTGAAGAGATGAAGTGCCATGTTGCAGCTGAACACCCCTCATCTCAACCCCCTTCCCAACATGAAATAGAACCTGTGGTGAACTTCCCCCCCCATGTAAATATATTGTTTTTACATATACAATTCATACAATTTAGATGAAACACACCAGTGAAAACATCACTAGGATTATTTTATATTCAATTTCTGCCAAAAATCCCATTCACCTAAATCTTACACACTGAACCTATAATGGTCAACGGTCAAGATCACTTGACCTCTCAAACACTTGTTTTGCCTTGTGAATGTAATATCTCAGGAAGATCTCAAAGGAATTTCTTCAAATTTGGCAAACATGTTCACTTGGACTCACGGATAAAAGGATTTGATTTCGATGGTCAAAGTTCAAAGTCATGGTGTGTTTGGCCTCTTGAATGTGGTATCTCAACACTGAGGGAATTTCATCAACATTTGAGGTTTTTGACTCTTGGACGTAGATATGAAGTTATTACATTTCAGTGGTCAAAGGTAAAGGTCACAGTGACCTTATCGTATTTACTCTGAGGGGTATTTTATCTTTTAATTACCTTTTTCCTCTCTGGAAGAAAGCTCTTTACCAATTTACTGTTTTACCTTGCATTTCTTGTAATATGTGTCCACATAGGCACAGGCACCAACACCTGCTACATGGAGGAAATGCACAACATTGAACTGGTGGATGGGGATGTAGGTCGTATGTGCATCAACATGGAATGGGGAGCATTTGGTGACAATGGTGAACTTGATGACTTCTGTACTCAGTTTGATCTTATTGTCGACGAGTGCTCCAACAATCCGGGTAAACAGAGGTAATGGATTGGTTATTTCTGGCAAAGTACATCTACTGTAATATATTTCTATGGAATGCACTCCAAAAATATGAAGCAGCACAACATGTAGACACAAACTAAATGAGAGTCGGTGTCAATGCCTGACTGAGGGAAAGAGAGGGCCACAAGGAGTCTGGAGAATACATTGATGAGAGGGGCTGATACAGATTATTGATTCCAGCCGCTCTCACGCATCCTGGTAATTTACTCTATTTAAACTACTTTTTGTGTGTAAAGCGGTCTTTGGATTAGGGCTGGACAATATAGCTAAAAATTTTATCAAGATAAGCATTTTCATATCACTCAATATGGATAATTCTCCAAAAATATAATGTTTTTGTTTGAAGACTGATTTTTGCTCAGAGTGAAGGTTGTAGTTTTAAACTCCTCTTAATGAGCAGAGAAAGAAAAATACTTGATTAAAAGCAACATTGAGGTAGATCACTTGCCCTTACACCTCCTTGCTTTGCTTACACAGTGCATTAGCAATATATTGATCTAGGTCTTTTGTTATATTACTATTGATATTTTTTGCTATATTCATCACCAAGCCCTAAAATTTTATTTTTCCTCTATTAGTGTGTGGCTGTGGAAATTTTTATGTTTGTTTGTTTTCCTCTGGCAGATATGAGAAGATGATCAGTGGCATGTACCTGGGGGAGATAGTGAGGAACGTGTTAATGGAATTTACTGAAAAGGGGCTACTGTTCAGAGGCAAACTGTCTGAGCGACTCAAGACCCGGGGCATTTTCGAGACAAAGTTCCTGTCACAGATTGAAAGGTGTGTGTTACAGCCTCTTCTACTTTCTTTTACATTAAAGAATCAATCCCCAGTTACTTCAATTGTATTGGATTTGGCTGCAACACTGTTTACCCCTGAAACAACAAGCCTTAAGAATATCATGCAACATGACCTTTTCTTTTTCCAATGAACCATCTGCTGTGTGTATTGATTTTACTTTTGTTGTTACAGTGGTTGATTTTACTTTTCATATGGGAGAGCCTAAAGGTAGCAGTGCTAAAGAACCTTTGTACTTAAGCACATGTTCTAGACTAATTATTTCTAAAGATCTACACATTTCTGAGATAGTTGTTACCGATGTTGACCTTTCTGAGCATTACTTTGTTTTCATTGATTTTACTACTGCCGCTGACAGCAGCAGAATAAAAACAAGGCTAACCAGAAAGTGCTACATCAACAAAAACTGTAGCTGACATAAAACAGCAACATGGAGGAATGCCACGCTGGTAAAAGGTCAAAGAAGAGAGTTTAGACCGGAAGAACTCAGGTGACAAAAAAACAATCTCCCAGGGCCTGATCTGGTAAGATCCCAAATAAAAAGAGAAGCTTGCACATGGTTTCTGCCATGGAGCATTACGAAGGTCAGAGTGACCGCAAGCGCAGAGCGAAAAGAAATGTCATGGAATTGGAGGTGTTAGTGGAAGAGGCAAACAAACAAATGTTGTTGAGCAACAGCGAAGAAATATTAATATAATTTAAAGAAACGCGATATGGGAGAGTATCTACGAGAAAGTAAATGCTGTGGGTGAAACAAAAAGAACAACCAATGAAATCAAGAGAAGATGGCAGGACATAAGAAGAACAAAAGAAAAAATAGCTCATGATAAAAACTTGGCAAATAAAACAGTTGGGAGGCGCATGTTATTCTATTCTGTTAGTAGATCAGCTTGCTGAGTTTTTACACACGCAACCACCTAGAGTCTTTTGACAGTTTGTGTCCTTAAAAATACCAACATTCTCTTCTCACTATTTCAGTAATGCACATAATTACCTTATTGTTTGCTCTAACAAAACTTAGAGATGGACGATGAAAGTTTTTTAAAGCAGAGTACTGAAAGGAAAGTGCTATTGCTGCTATTGCTGAAAGAAACTACTTAAGATCTCTACAAATCTCCAGCAATTTAACTAAATGACGATAGCTGATGTGTAGGCTTTCACACAGCATTTAATATGAAACAATTGGCTCAGCGGTAGAGCAGGTCGAGCAGGTCGTCCAATAACCAGGTCGTCCAATAACCAGAAGGTTGGCGGTTCGATCCCCGCTCCCGCTCGCCACGCCCGAGGTGCCCTTGAGCAAGGCCCCCCCCCCCCAACATCTGCTCCCCGGGCGCTGGCAGCAGCAGCCCACCGCTCCAGTATATGTGTGTACATGGCATCTGTCAATGCGTGTTTCATCCAGGTGCCAACTGGATGGGTTAAATGCGGAGAACAATTTCATGTATACATGTAAAAGTGTTAAACGTGACAATAAAAGTATATCTTCTTCTTCAATTACTGTGAAGTGTACATGGGTAAGGTACAAAATGAGTTACACTTACTTTATCATAATAAGGTTTTACTGTCAGAAACATTTAACAGCATGCTGATCTCCAGTCTCTCCTCTATGTGTCAGTCTCCTCCCAGCTCTCTCAGCTTTTTGCAGTGAGGAGTAACCCACTAACAGACTGTACTGATTACCCCCCTGGTGCAGATCAGAGAATTCGTAGTATGGATGTAATCGCAGCTAAGTCCACGTTAGCTGGTGCTGGAAGTAGCACATCTCTTTCACATGTATAACTCCTGTAATTTTCTCTGATCCCAAAGAGACCGTCTGGCCATGCGACAGGTCCGCTCAATTCTGCAACACCTTGGTCTCACCAGCTCCACCTGTGACGACAGCGTGGTGGTGAAGGAGGTGTGTAGTGTGGTGGCACGGCGTGCGGCTCAACTCTGTGGTGCTGGTTTAGCCGCTGTGGTCGACAAGATACGACAGAACCGCAACTTGAATCAGCTCTCCATCACTGTGGGAGTGGATGGCACCCTTTATAAGACACACCCTCAGTAAGTGGCAATTATGGTCCAACAAACATAATAATGGTGATAGTTATATATGTAGTGATGTTATTAATGATAGCAGCACCAGTTAATAATAGTGATAATGGTAAAAATGTTAAAAATGCTGCCATACATGTGATATATAAATTTATTTGGGCCAGAGAGAGAGATGCTCAGTGCATGATGGGAGTTCCCCCCTGAAATCTGGGCCTAAAGCAGTATAACTACAGTGGTGCAAGGACATGGAACTGCTATGTCATATTTATCCAGTGTTATAAAAACATCAAAATCTGAGCTCAGAGGGAGATTTTCATGTAATTCTTGTTCAACACTAAACCTTTTCTTCTCTTTTCGCTCTCATTTCTCCTGAAGTTTCTCCAGTGTCATGCAAGAAACGTTGCAGGATTTGGCTCCGCAGTGTCAGGTGACTTTCCACAAGTCAGAGGACGGAAGCGGAAAGGGAGCAGCACTGATAACAGCTGTGGCCTGTAGGGTCAATAGTGAAGGTCACCATTAAATAACCAAGACGTTAGTGGTCAGGTAGAATCATAATGCGGCTGATTTCTGTGCTGAATAGTTACAAACACTCTGTGTTTTCTTCTGTTGTTCCTAAATGCATCTGTGAGAAGGGACTTGTTAGGATTGTGTTAAATATTAAAACAATTTTTTCATCACAATAAATGAACATATTTATGGTGAGAGCTGCCACCAAGGTCAGCTGATGTTAGACAAATGGCACCTTCGATTAAATATGTCTGTTACAGTCTGATCATTCTGATAACTTAGTCTGTGATCTGTTTTGAGTCTAAGAACATTACAAAGTGCATCATGATAAAAAGAAAGAGAAAACAAACTACTGGAAAGAAATTGTGAGGAGTTGCATTACAGCAAAACAAGGAATCTATATTTTGCATTCAGAGTTTTTGTATTCTTAACGCTAAATCGCTTGTCTCATCAGTTTGAGTTGAGTGTCTGCCTTTAATAAGAAAAATGTTAGATTGACCAGGACTGACTGGAACCAAAGCTTAGTCATATGTTTTTCAGTTCTAGCACGTCTCAAACCTCTGTGCATAGCCCAGTGCTTTCTCTTGTCATCTGGCGCAATGAAATAGAGCCTTTGAAGAGCAATTTGTCTAATATACTTTTAAACATGTTTATTTATTTGTTCACTTTTGTACTACATGAATTAGCACCTTTTTAATTGGTGCATTGTACAAAGACAAAATAAATGTCTGTTCTGCAATGTTGCTTTAGAGAGACATTTTTACTGAATCAGAGAAGATTGATGGGCATTTGTTGTTTTCCCTGAAATACCTTTAATAAATTCTTATTGACTTGTGCACTAGTTTAATATCTTGTTTCTGTATCTCAAAACTAAACTTTTTACCAGATCTTTGTTGTCATTGTAATAATAATAGTACGACCTGTATGATTGTAACAATAATAAAGTCATGAAAGGGTTACAGTTTGATTAGGAGACATTTTTGTTTTGTGTAAGACCATTGTTGTCATGGTTACAACCTCTCACCAATATGGACTGTGTCACTCTATATATTTATTGCTCTTTATGTTACCGGACGTCCTTCTTTCCTACGGATAGGATTACTGTAGCGTTAACGTTTTGATTAAAATCTTTCTTGTCCTCTGAAACTTAGGCACAGGCAACAGCTTTTTTTTTTGAGATCCTTTCACTTTTTTTTAAGTCTGATGGTTGTCTCCATTCGGTTCAGCTGCTGCAGTGTCAGCAGACAGACTTTCACAATGAAATCGACCTGGCTATTCAGTCACTTTCTCCTCTTACTGTGGAACTGCTTTCACTCAAGAAATAATGCCAGCATCTGGAATGAATAGCTCTCACTAGAAGTCAAGCAGTCTGTGCCACGCTTTATCTGAGACACAGATGTTTATGTAGTTTTTTTATTTCATTTTACTGTATTTGAAATATAATTTATGCATCCATTGTATCCAGTAGAGAGACGAGAGTGAGAATCTGTGATGAAGAGGAAACATTAAGTCACTAAAACAAAAGCGTTGAACCAATAATGTGGAAGCCTATTATGACAGTCACTTAAAACACTTGTGCAAAATATCGGGTAGTATCAAACTCTAAAATGTTCCAACTGATTACACTATTATGTTTCATTTGCTTGACAAAGCAAAGTGAGTTTATTCTCATTAAAATAAAAATCTGTCTTTGCTTTTTGCTGCTTAGAAACATCATATAATCACAGAGCAATGTGAACTGATCATAGTATTTCCCTTCAGCTCACTGCAGATTGCGACTTGTGAATTTAGAAAATACAGCTTAATTAGTTTTACTGTAAATGGCTTCAACCAGCATTATCATTCCAGTATGCAGACCTCTATAATAGACCCTTCAGTTCTCTGAAATGCAGCTGCCACACAAAGAAAGCAGATGTCATACATTTTTAATATGTTTCTATAGTTTAGATGAAAATGATGTTGGAAGATATTGTTCCATGTACCCACACTGCATAGTATAAACTGCTATTGTGGATTTCAAATGATGTATCAGTCAACGTGGAGGAATAATAAATAAGCTCAATTAATTTAAAAGAAATAAGTTATCAGGGTAATACATGTGGGACCAGCCTCTTTGATGTTGTTTCATGCCAGAGTTTAAATACAGCTGTTGGACATGGAGCCTGCCACGTAGCACCGCTGTGTTTCTCTGGTCACCCACTGTAGAAGTATAGAGCTGTAGCATTTTTAATTCAGCTTAAGTCCTCTGTAGTTTCTCCTTCACTCCTGGAAAGAGAGGGTAAGGGCACGTTCAGTTGTTTGCAATCTGCGACCTCACTTCTTGTTTTCTAATCTGCAGGAGTGTTTTTAAAGGACTATAGGGGCCCCAGACAAAATGGTCCTGAAAACCGTAACGAACATCCCCCACCTCCCATAATAAAGAAACATGGCATCAAATACATCATTCTTGTCACTCTGTTGGTTACACTACTCAATTAAATGAAAGGTGGATTTTAAAGTGCCCATGGTGAGCTTGTTGGATTTTTCTTCTTTGTCACTGTCAGTCTCCCATCCTTCCACTTCTCAGTCAGTCTCCCATCCTTCCACTTCTCAGTCCTTTTCCAAGGTCTCAGCCTCTGCTTCATCTGCCTGCCAAGCCACAATCAGCCCAGTATATATTCATCAGCTCCACTCTCAGTAGCTGGGCCAGATAGTTCTAGGCCTTGATGCCAGACTATCCAGCACTCATCTACGAACTGATTGTCTGTTGCCAACCCTGCCTTTCTCTGACTAACCTGCCTCGTCTGAAACCTGGTAATCACCTCTGCCTTCCATCCCTGATAAATATATATATATACTTTTTTATGTAATGCAATATGACTATAATCAGATGATAACATAAATGGGTGTAATTTCAGAGTAGTATACTATGTATATATAATATATGGCAAATTCACAATAGCCTACATTATGGTATGAATAAAAAAATAGATACAAATGGGGGCCTAGATATATGATAATATGCCTGGTTTTCATTACAAAAGATAGCTTTACTGCTACCTGCTTCATTTTGAAACGGAAATTGAGATGTTCCCGAATAAAATAAAAGAGATTGATATAACATATTAAGAGTTAATTCCTTCCATCAGTATTTGCGCATGTGTTATTCTCAAAACTTTACATCAGAACCTTGAACCTTGGCCATTGTTCCCATGGCTACAGTGGTGTTAAAAGCTGATCAGGAAGGGGTCCGCAGGCTGACAAATCAGAACAAAGCTTTTGGCAAACTCCAGAAGCAGATCAAATGGCAAGGCAGGTACAGAAACAAATCAGGAAACGACAAGGAGCAAAACACAAAGAAACACAAGGAAGGGAACAAATGAACAAACAGAGGAGAGTGAAGAGCACAGGGAACAACCCTCAAAGTAAGCAGGAAAACTGAACTGAAGTCAGTTATTCTATAGCGAGACAAAGGCTGTATCAGAAATCAATCACTATATAGTGTGTTGTATAGTGAGATTGCCATTTTGTAGTGGTGTCTGACTGTTTAGTGAAGTTTTCATACCTTAAACAGTACATTCATTGTTTCCCTCAATGCATCATGAAAAGTAGTGTACAACCATGGCCACTAACTGAGCAATATATACCACCATGCATTGCGCTCGAGGAAGTGCAAAATAAACCTTTACAATTTACTGTGGGATTTTCCACTGACCGATGTTTTATGTAATAATGCAACAATGACATCATTACCAGTCATTCTTTTCCCATTGAGCTCACTATGTAGTGCTCTAAATAGTGGATGAGTGTGCAAAATCACTCACTAATCAACAATATAGCTAGTTTGCCATTTTGTAGTGCTGTCCGAATGTTTAATGTGAAACAACCGAGCAATATATACGTCTACCCTCTATTGTGCTCGTGGCCGGAGGACGAGAGGAGAGAGTAGAGCAGGTACAGCCTGACCTGTTGTACAAATCTAAGACGAGCAGAGCAGGGCATCACAGCACAAACTGAGGCATTGAGGAAATTTCATGGTCTTTCACTTTGTTTTACACAAATGTATTAATACTGAGCGTAATAAACATTCAAAACCTACTGTCGAGCTGAACTGAAGGAGCCTCTTGGATGATAGATGAAACGTTTCACTTATTACATGATGTAGCCTCTAAATGAGCTTTAGTTTGACACACACTGTCTGCACTGACTCTGAGGACACGCTGTGGTGCTAACATTAGTGATTACTAGTCAATGAATACATATTGACCTATTTTCATGCTGAAACATGACTGTGAGCATCTGGTATGTAGGTGACAGGATGTGTCTGCTGCATCTGGAGAGTTAGAGATTGAGATATACTGGGTGTGTGAGCAGCAGGGATCACCTTAAACAACCAGACATTGGAGAGTGTGCGTCACGCATCAATGTAGTGTCAGTTTGGTGAGGACTGACTGTCTCAGAGAGGGTGAGAAGGAGGGATGGGGGCTGACACAAGGCAAATATGAAAAACTATCTATCCAAATAAATATTTGATTTCATAGGATAAACTTACTTGAAATGAAGAATAAAAGTCTAAAACTATGTCTGTTTATTCTGCCACTAACAAAGAATCTAACAATCCACACCAGCTCCAATGGACCCTCTAAGAATGCTGATGTCATGATTCAAAGTATTGATTGGTCAGTGGGTGGGCAATTATACTGATTGATCTCTTATCTCCAACTTAACCTGCTCCGGAGCAGGTTGACCATTGAGCATAAGTTACCATGGTGATTGACCCCGATAAGAAGTGAACGAGCTTCCTAGGACTTAAAACCCTGAACTAAACCTGATAAGCACAAATCCTGTTTTGTACTACAGGCCCCTGAATTGCCTCAGTATGTAAATATTACACAGAAACACACAGGCCTATAGGGTGAAACATTTATTTGGTAACATCACACAACAAAAAGAAAACATCCACTGGTGATAATGGGCACATTACACACGAAAAACATGTAGATCACTGCATCCTATGCAAACACACATGAATAATATACATATAGAATTGATTAATTACTTGAACTTCTAAATTTCACATTTATTGTGATACGTATATATTTTAATCTTGCCATAAAAAAACAAATAAGAAAGGATACAGTTTGTAATATCTTTTAGTCTGAGTGACAGGTATGTTTGTTGTGATAGGATAGTTTTCTGTCACATACATCTGTCACCCATACCTGTCACATAGACCTGAAGTACAATCGCACAAAAACTGTAATTCCTCCGCATCTACTGGATTGAGTGTCACAGATATATCACAAATCCACTAGCATTGACCCAGCTAACTGCCACATGGATTTCTATGTGTCATTTATTAAATCTATCAGAGTTAATAATGTATGTCATGGATAATCCACTTGGGCAGCATTTTCCACAAAGGGCTGCCTCAGCAGGGTGACTCATGTACGCCAAGGAGCTGTCGTAGTCACAGTTTAAAAATCCTCTTCCATCTTTTAAGTTTAAACAGGAAATCAGAATGCTGCTGGTTGCTTTGAGGTTACGACTCATCTGAGAAGAGTTTTCCTTATTCAAACTCTAGTACATCAATAGAAACAGAATCACTGGGTCAAAAGCTCAAAGGACAACAACATCCACGACAGTTTATCATGGCAAGCCACAAACATACAGTAGCAACATGGTTCTCCTGAGGTGTCACCACTGGATTTTTACACTGACAATAATGTGGAGCATCTGTGACATCATCAACACACTCAAGTGATTATGGCAGTTATAAGAACACAATTACAACCCATTGCACAAAATACATCCATTTGGCTTTACTGAACTTCTCAGTGAAAGATTGACACGTTCAAGTTACACCACACCAGTGACTGCACAGCAATAAAGATGGCACCAGAACACACAGACCACAAAGATTCCCGCTTTAACATGTGAAAGAAATGCTTCTGTTGTCACATCCAGCTCTTTGTGGCTTTTGTAGATGTATCTGTGCAAAGCAGATACTATATGTTTGTGGGTATATAACATCTTCATTGTGTTTTATGTCTTTGAAATGATAGCAACTTTTTTTACT